TCCCTCCCTCCCTCCCTCCCTCCCTTTACCCTTGCAAGGCACTTCACCTTCCTCTCACCTTGCTGACCACATCCCAATGGCCTCTTGCCCTAAAACTGTGGGCTTTCACCCAAAGATTAGTTTCGGATGTATGCAGTTGTAAATCACCCCAAGTCAGCTTAAGTCAATACAAATGCATGAATTTATTGTGTTACAGTTATGGACTTAAAAACTTTGACAGGACTCTGACTTGATAAAAATCAGGGTGCTAAGTGAACTGTGTTCCTTTGGGAGGTTCTGGAGAAAATTAGCCTCCTGTTTCTGAGCAGGAGGCCATCCCTTGCTTATGGTGTCTTCCTCTGTCTTCAAAGCTGACACCACCAGGTAAACCTTTCTCTTACTGAAAGGAAAAGAACCTGGGTTTTGTTTGGTAGTTTCTGGTGTGCGTGTGTGCGTGCGTAGGGGGGTGTTTTTTATTTGTTGCTCGTTTCTGAGGTAAAGACTTGCTGGATAGTCCAGGCTTCCCCTAGTCTCTTCAACATCAGGATCATGGACATGTACCATTGTGTCTGTTGAGATAGAAGCGCTAAGGAAATTTAAGTCACTCCAAGAAAAATGGAAATTCAAGAAGTGAACTCTAAGTGAGCAAGACTTTTACAGTCTCATGTTCACCCTAGCTGAGAGTTTTCTTCCTCTTCTCAATTCTTAGTGAGCGTACACACAAAATTTCTTCGGAGGCATTTGGTTCGCTTCCGGTTATGTACAGTTATCCTGTACTGTAACCTTACCGAACACTGAGGGCAGAACCCCTGCCTTGAATTGTACCTAACAGGAACTTGTTTTTATTACATGGCTGTTAGAGTCAAGGGAGCTGTTGGGAAAGTCCTTGGGGGATGGGGAGGGAGCATCTTCATAGGATTTGTGATGAGTTGATACCAGGGTTGGTGACAACAGAGAGGACTCCCCCTTTTCTTGACTGGGCATTCAAGAACTCTGATGGCCATAGGATTAATTTTACTCCCAACTTCTCTTCCTTTATCATCCTAAAAAATCACATGACACCCAGCTGCTTTCCATTGTTGTGGAAATCAGTTACTGCCTTCCTCCTCTGCCTTCCTGGCCATTACTTCATTTACAACCCCTGGCATTTAATTTTAAAGTGGAAATTCATTTCACAAATACTAATTTATATATTAGTTTCTTTTCAGAGCCCATGAGTCTTCACCCTCTTACAAGCGGGTGGTTTATATACCACTTAAGAGTCTGAAATGATGTTTTACTAAACCTGCTTTGTCAGAGTGTTCCATTGATGTACCCCTCTACCCATCCATCAATTCATTTGATTTATCTGATTCATCTCAGCGTAAGTTTCATATATCAATAAGTCTCCCTGTAAATACTTTAGCCTGCATATACTTCACTGGAGTAGAAAATGGATAACTAGGCCTTTTTTTTCATCCTTTGGAATAAATACTATATATAATAAAATGCACAAATCTTAAATATTTTACTCAGTGAAGGTTGACAAATGCATACATCCATGTAAGCGAACAATCCGCTTTTGTAGCTCTGCCAGAAAGTCTCCTGTGCCCCTGCACATCACTTCTGCACTGGTGCTGGAATGCCCTGTGAATGTGACTTTTTACTACTACATTTACTGTTCGAAACAGTTCTCCAGGGCAGGAAGGTGGCTCAGAAAGTTAGGAGCACATGCTGCTCTTCCGGAGGACCCAGGTTCCAGTCTCAGGACTCACAGGCAGTTCACAAGCACCTGAAAATGCACTCCCAGGGTATTGACCCTCCTCTAGCCTCTGTGGGCCCTGCATGCATGTGGTGCACAGGCATACATATATGCAAGTAAACACTTATACACATAACAAAAATAAATGTAAGAAAAAAATTAAAAACCAGCTCTGCATTGTATTTCTCCTACTTACCACAAAAGGAAAAAAAAAACAAACCAACAGCTTTTTTTGAGACTTAAAAACACAACTATTTTATAGTGGCATAAACATGTTTGTTAATTGAGAAATGCTCTGACTCTTCTTCCTTGAACACATCCCTTGAATCAGATTTAAGCAGACCACACTCATTTCGTTTTGCGCCTGCTTTGGCCTAGTCCAGGTGAGTTGGTTTCTGCCAAGTCCTACTGAACATTTGTCTTATTCTATCCAGGCTGCTGTGCGCTAGAAACTCAGGGGCTTCTAAACAATAGAAATGCATTCTTGCTCTTCCAGAAGCGTGGTGATTCCTGACCACGGGCCTGCAGGTTCAGTGTGTAGTGAGAGCCTGCTTCCTATCGCTGGCGACCAGTTCTCCCTGTGCTCTTAATGTGGTAAGAGGTGCAAGCGGCTGCCTGGACCGTCTTTTGAAGGGGCATGCATTCCATTCATGGGGGTTCCTCTTCATGACCTCCCAGCAGCCCCATCTCCCAATACCTTCACATTGGAGATACACTGTCTTTTGATCAGGAAAAGCAGCCTTGTTGGATACAGAGACCACTCAGTTGATAGGACCCCAGAAAACAGTGTTCCTTTCTTGCTTTTCCCTCCTAGGATACTCTTTTCGGTAGCAGGCCTGTTAACAGCATCCTTCGGCTCAGCTTACATGTCTGTGAGGCAACAACTTGGGGTTAAATAGTTTCTGGGGGTCCATCTAAAAGTGGAATATCAGTAGTTTAAATTTTTTGGCTTTTATTGTTTTTAGATTTCATTGTATAAAACCAGGCTGTCCTCAAACTTCATCCTCCTGCCTCAGCTTCTTCTGTACTAGAATTACAGATACACAGCACAGTGGCTGGTACTCAATACTTACATGTTTTTAAATGTGTAGTGTGTGTGTGTGTGTGTGTGTGTAGGTCAGTGGACAAGTCTGTGAATCTGTTCTCTTGGACCTTTATGTGGGTTCCAGGAATCGAACTGAGGTCAGTCCAACTTTCACACAAGAGCATTCACCCACTGAGACATCCTGTTTGTCCTTCAACTCGATGGTTTTAGCAGGAAATGAAACAAAAAGATTTGAAGAGAAGAATCAGTGCCCTATAGACTGCACTTAAAATGAAAAGGTTGTGGGTATTTTTAGACAAAAATAACAAATATTAATGTCCTTTTCTGACCTGTTTTAGCTGAAATGTTCTCGGGGCATCTGGTTTGTGTTTAAAGCCTTTTTCTTTCTTCCTTCTTCCTGTACTGGCAAGTCATGATTTAAATTGTAACATAAAGTCCTTTCCAATGGATAGTTATACAGACAAGCTTGCTAAATCCATCCCGTTTTGTCTTGTTTATACCTTTTGCGAGGGGTGTGATTTTGACAGCATTTGGGAGGCAAGTGTCAGAAATCTGTTCTCTGCAAAGCCACCTCTGAGTCACTTCCCCTCTCTCTGGAACAGCAACTGTGAAGAGTGGGATCATGTTTAGACTTTTAAAAAAAGAAAAAAAACACAACACTTGATAAATGGCTTCAGGAGCTTATATAATATAGCCCAGAACCCCCAGTTTTTTAGACAAGAACAGAGTCCAGAATGTCATTTTTTTTTTCAACTTTGTGTGGAAGCCTAGTCCTGTGTCTTAGACTCAGGAACCAGAGTCAGGAGACGAAGGCCATTGCCGCAGTCACGGTCCAGTGGCCTTTGAAGTGAGCTGCTCTGTCTTGGGCGGTGCGGGGTACCACTCACCTCACCTACCTCCTTGTACTCCTCCTGGGGATCTCTGCTCTGCGTGGACAGTAGGGAAGGCTTGAGTCTGGGTGGGCTGGGATGTTGGTTGTTTTGCTTCGTACAGTGCTGTAATCTTTTCTCTGTCTTATGTTCGGGTAGACTTGTACCCCCAGACTCCGGTTTTCCTAATACATGCTCCTTGTCCAACATGTCCACCTCTCTCTGTACTGGAGGGAAATGAGTCAAGAGATCATGCAGGACACATGTCCACAGTGCCTATTCCTGGAACCCACCCGCTGCTCAAATTTAGAGCCAGTGAGAACACAAGGGTTGGGCCTCTCCTATCACTTTTTATTCTCTTAGGAAGATAAGATACCTGAAATGGGTGTGCACATGGGTGTACTGAAGCTAAAATAGGAAGTAACTTAAAATGTTAGCCTTGGGAACTTTTCTTCTTTGAAGTATGATGCTTGGAAGCCAGTCGTGGTTTTTCTGAGGACCAATTATGTTCAACAAGGGCCAGAGAGATAGATAGTTAGCTGAGTTAGCGTGCTTGTCACCGAGGCTGATGACCTCGGTTTGATCTTTGGAACCCACGTGGTGGAGGGAAGGACTGACCTAACCACCGCCCACGCTCCAGGGCACGTACACACCCACCCTCCACAGAGACACAAACAAACACCAAAATGAATTGTTTGGCGACAGCCAAGGAATACAAATGAGAAAATTTTACTGGTTTTGCTCTTCATTTTGTGTAATTAGATTGAAGAATGTTCAGGCCTCCCTGCTCCCTCCTAGGTACCCTCGAGTCCTAGAGTGGCATTGAGACTGTTCTGATTGGCCCTGGTTTTCTCCCAGAAATGTGCGATCGTTTGACGATGATCTGCAGTCCCCAAGTTCTTCCCAATACAGACTCTCCAGAGTCTGTCCCAGGAATCATCTGTGTTATGTTGTCTATTCAAGTCATAGTACTGGGCAATATATACATGCAAGGCCCTACCTTAAAGAAAAATTAAAAAAAAAAAAAAAAGACCTGCAAATTAGAATTCAGCTTTCATGCAAAGAATACATTATACCAGTTCTAACATTTTAATAAACTTACCCCGAAATTATAGAAATAATGGTTCCATTATATCTTTTGTTTGACTTAAAAACAGTTAAGAATCGTTTTTGTAAATTACAAAATAATACATAAAGAAAGCCCTCTAGTTAGAAAGTTGACAAGATACTTTAAAAACGGGTTTCCGAAGCATGAATACAAACCTTGCGTGTTAGTATTCAGAATGGACTGTTTTCCCTTTAGCATGTTAAAAGTTCTGAAAGGATCCTTAAGGCCTGGCTTTCATAAGCACCAACGGTGAGCAGCATTAGTGGTTAGGAAGGATGCTGCAGCCGCAAGTTAGGAATGTCCAACTGCAGCATTGATTTGTGTCTGTCTCTCTCTCTCTCTCTCTCCCTCGCTGGCCTTTTTCTCTTTAATGAGTACTAGAATGTTTCCACATCAGTTAACTGCCTTCATAAAGCACCAGAAGGTCACACCAGCCCCAGACAGATCCTTTTCTTTGTGCCTATAATATAATTGGCTGATTGTGCGGGTGATGCGCCCGCCCCCTCCCCCAGGCCGGTCCCAGCTCGGCTCAGCAGCCTGCCTCCGGGTTCCTGAGAAGCAGAGCAGCTCAGAGGCTGCAGAGCGAGGGAGCGAGCGAGCTCGGTGGCTGCGCCGCTTCCCAGCACAGGCAGTTGCCACTGCGCAGGTTGCTCAGCGGAACAGCATCCATTTTAATCTGCGGGGAGCCCCTGCCTAACCAGGGCGTTCTCCCGCGCCTGTGGATGCTCGGCGCTTCCCCTGCGCAGCCTCGCCCAGCAGCCCAGCTTTAGGGTCTGCGCCCTAGGATGCTCTGAGATGGTACATCAGGAGAACTGCTCGTACCAGGTAAGGTTGGGAAAGCCTGATTTTTTTGAGGCCCTCGCCCCGGTGGGAGAGGCCTTCCTCTTCTAGGGCAGCAGGTTGCCTCTTGCTGGATTTTCAGGGGATTTTGCCATCCTGGGCTCCGCTCCCGGCCTTCATCGCATACAGTATCTGAATTCTAATGAGGCTTTCTGGAGAGTAATGGGGCAGAAACACTGTTTCTTTGGCCTTTTAAGCGTTTTGTGGAATACACGGAGGTGATGCGTGCTCAGCACACTGTAGGTCTGAGCAAATGAGAGGAACTGCTCTGAACTGTAATTGAATTTAAGGGGTCATAGACACAACACCGAAAAATGTGATTATTGTTCATTGCATAAGAGGCGAATTACTTGGCATCCAGTTTTTAAGACTGTGAGAAAATTATGTACATCAAGAGTCCTAATTGATGATCTTAGAATTTTTCATCAACCAGTCAGCAGGCGTGTGGCGTTTCAAGTTGCACTCACATGTATTTATGAACCTGTTTTTAGCAGCATGCTCTTTTAAATGGTTAATAGGTAAGAATGCCAGTGTCGGTGTGGATTAAAAACTTCACATAGAAAAAAAAATTGAATAACACATGTTCATCTCTTAATGTGCCAATTTGCTCTCTGGAGCTAGGAATGAAACACTTCAGACCATTTCCAGAGCTCCCTTCTAGAATGTTTCATAACTCCACCCTACCGCTTGGATTGTAGAGACAACACTGTAAACAGCTAGAGCCGTCTCAGAGACAGGGCTCTGTGCAGCGGCAGGCGTGCCTGGGCCACAGCCTGGGTGGCTGGCATCGGGGTATTGCTCACCTGAGGGAGTTTCTCAGAGACCAGCTCTCTAACCCAACAATGCCTCTTCCTTGTGAGAGGGAGGCTACCTGAGACAGGTTACCTGAAACAGGTGTTTCTCCGAGGGTCCGATTTCACAGTGTGAATGTCTGCAGGAAGAATAGTGTATTTCACGAGACTCGAGGCAGCCGTTGCTAGCCAAGGAAGGCATGCCTACCAAATATGTTTGTACGCTGTTTTTATGCTTAATAATTGGAATTTTATAATCAGGGACCTGTTTTGTAGTATTTTCATTTTATGGGACGTTTAGTTACATGCGTAGATCCTTTAGTATCAAGATGTATGCTTCACAGGAATTTTTTCCAAGAGAAAGTCAGAGCTGAGAAAAGAGTCACACATTTAGGGTGGGGAATGCCAGGCATCCATGGAGAGTCTAGTGTGGGGATGGGCTACATTCGGCTGCAGGAGATTAAATTATTGTCATAATTAAAATAGTTTTTCATCTCCCTTTTCAGAGAAGCTCCGTAATTTATGTTGAAGGGCAGGTTACTAGAGGATCATTCCCTATATTTTCTCATTAGGCCCAACATGAAGTCATTGTTTTTGGAAGGTGAAAAATTGGTCAGTAGCAGCAATTTCATCGGGAGAGGGAGGGACCATGTTAGGCAAATGTTTCTTCCAAAGGAAGACAGATAGGTAGGACTTGATAGGAACTCAGTATTTAACAGTGGCACCGTGTGTTTGATGATCTGGAAGTCTCTATTGCTTATTTCCACAGTAAACTTACATGTGTTAGGTTGATAAATGGTAGTTAATAGACTGTGTTTCACCAATGGAGGTTGGTAGAAGCATGTGTGTAGACTCTTTTGAAATGCTTTCCTTCAGAGCTAACAAAAACAGGAATGTTAGCTTTGAAGCCAAGTCCCAATCCGACTTAGAAATCTGAGTTTTAGAACCCATCTGGCATCGCGCATGATCGGGTTTAGAAAAAGTGATTTCCCTACAGTCTTAGCTTGGTGTGGTCCTAAGTAACTAGTGATATCAACAAACTAATTTTTTTTCAGAACCCCCCACCTTTTTTTTTTTTTCTCCCACTAGGGCCTGTTTATTTGTTCTAAATGATAATGCAGAGTGGTTGTGGCATATTGCTTAGGTTAGTGGGTTTTTTATGTAGCCCTGGCTAACATGAGACTCACTATGCATGCAAGGCTTTCATCCCACCTCTGCCTCCCCCGTGCTGGTGCTGGGATTAGAGGCCTGTGCCACCACTCCCCTCAGGTTGGCATTCTTAATGAACCAACAGAATTTCATTGGAGGGCTGATTCCTTTTCTCCCATCAGTGATGTCTGCTGAGATTTCTGGAGAACACTCTAATGGAGCGGCCGTGAGTGGGAGTTCAGACTCCCGTCCCCTGGATGTTTTGCTGCAGAGAGAGAGAGAGGTAGATTACTGCAACTACCATTGGCAGATCCCCATACGGCAGCCGAGCCCTTTTAAATGCTTCCATGTTTCTGCATTTGCTCTTCCATCACCCACAGCTTGTTTTCAACACAGTATCCGGAATAAGCTAGTAGAGCCTAAGTCTGATCATGTACCGCATCTCCAAAGTTTTTGAAAGTTTATCATCCCACGTAGAAGAACCCAGTTAGGTATTCACCGGGGCCTGGACCTTTGACCAGTGTCTCCCAAGCCCCACCTCCGTTTCCTCCTGGGGTCTAGCTCTGCTTGCCTCGACCCCTCCTCTGTCAGCCTCTCTGGTCTCCCTGGCACACACCCCTCCCTCATCACACCCTCGGTAGGGCCGTCTTATTTAGCGTTGGGTACATCGTTGTTCTAAAACGTTGTTCACCCTTTTTGTGAAATTCACCATGCACTGAGCAATAGGGTCGTAGGCAGCCTTCCCGGACACCTTGCTCTCTTTCCTCAGGCCTTTTCTGGGGTGTCACATCTTTGGGTGTCTTCTCTAGACTTAACTCCACAAGCATCAAGTTTTCCTACTTCTGTTCCAACATTTTGCTTACAGTTCCCAAATTTGTTTTTATAGTGAGCGTTTACCACCATTGATCAGTACAGATTTTACTTCACCGTTGGTGGTCTGTTTCCACTGCTGTATGAAAATGGGTTTTCTAGGTTCTCAAGTACCGTGGGCGGGTGTGTCTGATCAGGTGAACAAGGCTTTGAACACACTCAGCTCCTTCCCTCCATGGACTTGACTGTTACTCTGAGAGGGAAGCCCGCTCCCCTCTTTCCGCCGTACGTTAATCGACTTTCTCATCTCTGAAATGGGTTTTTTGCCTGTTGACACCACATGAGAGTTGCCTGGTCTTCTGCCAGAGACCGCCCTTCCGCACAAACAAGTCAGCCATCATTAATTCAGAGCCACCTTGCCCCTGCAACTGTTTCCTCTGTCCCTTTGGAACCTCACCCAGCTATGTGTCACTTCGGCCTCGACTGATTGAGGCTGATAGAAGTACAATCAATTCTGCTCTGTTGAAGACTGTGTTGCCCAAGAGTTTGTGTGTCTCTGCCAAAGCCAAGTATCTGGCTATTCTGTGCTCCAGGCAACGGAAACCAAGGGAGAGTGGGCAAAGGAATTCTGCTGCAGAATTTTTCATGATAGTTTCAGGTCACCCTGCTTTTATCCTGCCCCTCTCGGGGTTCACAGGAACCTCCAGCTCGCTGAGGCATGCGTTGTCTTTTTCCGTCTTCACCCTGTTAGAAGAAAGAGCCGTCGACCTCCATTTTTCCAGTCTTGGGAGGAAGCCAATCTCTTCATGAAAGAATCTTGCCCACAGCTTCAGGCCTGGAAGCCTTCAGAAGGCCGAATTCTTCTAAATGGTTTTTGATAGACAGCTTAGAAATATGCTGAACTTGTAAGCACAAGTTTAGGTCAAGGGGTCCACTGAGCTTAAAAACTCCCAAATATTTTTTCTTTTCGCCTGCATTTTTTTTTGGGGGTGGGTCGGGGGGAGTAAGTACACAATTCGAAAACAATGACAGGCTTTCATCCTCCCTTGCTGTCCCTTAAATGACCGGCTCTGATCCAGATCACACCCTTGAATTCCGAGCTTCTGTGGGAATAGAGAAGAGATAAGATGGCCTGTGGCTCACTCTCTCCTACCTCCCTCCCCAGCACAAAGTCCCTTCTTCCAACGTGATCAGGGATCTTCAGTGCTTCTCCGGTCCCTTAGCATAGATTCCAGACCCTTTTGCCTGGCATTCAAGGCCTGGCCGAGGTCCAGACCCTGGACGAAGTCCTCCTCCCTCCCTCCAGATCTGATGTTGTCCCCCCCCCACTTTCTCCCTGCTGCTCCCTCCAGCTGGGATGCCGGGATGCCTCCCACCCACGCACCACCTGCCCACACCTTTTGCCAGCTACTTTCAAGGCGCAAATGCCACCACCTCCCGCAGGAAGCTGCCTCCTCACCATCAAAATGTCTCCCGGCACGCTTCCTTCCGTTAGCACCTCTTTACCTCTCCATCAGAGAAAGCCTCCTGAAGACAAGACCCTTGGACCCCTTTTTAGAAGGCTCTGCCTTACACGTAGACTTTGTGGCTGTTGAATGCCTGTCGGACTGAACTGCATTTGCTGCTGTTGGAATGTTCTGAGCCCCAAGAATTGGAGAGCTATCCAGATCTCCACCTTGCAGCAGGGAACCAGCAAAGCTGACCCCAGAACTAGTTGGATGGAGCAGGTGCTAGGTAGACATCCTGGATGCCCGAACAAGACACAGGACAACACACAACCACTGAATGAAGGCGATGCATGCACATCCCAGCCCACCCAGGAATAATGCATGAAGTACCTCCATCCCTGCTGATTTTACCCCAAGATTTCGCCAAGATGAAACTCGCGCTCTGCCCTCAGGCACTTCTGCACTTTTTCTATAAACTTCATTCTTTCAAAACCTATGCAAATAAATAAAAATATCACACACCAAAATTAACCAGACCCAAAATCTGCACAACTTAATGAACTTCTATACGTTTAGAATTGACTTTCAAAACAGAAACTGTGAAGCTTCACACTAAATTTTACACTTTCAGTATTGCGTATATTTTATGCACATATCCACCACCCAGACAAACAAACAAATAAACAAAATCCATGACAGTTAGAACTAGAAAAACAATTAGCTCTGTATTCTCTTTCATACCTCATGTCCATTACCTGCCCCCAGGCCTCTCATCCCTCACTATATTTAGCTTTTCCAGCTCACCTCAAGGATTTTGCCAAGACACCTCATGGCCTTTCTCCAGACACTTCCACACTTATTCAAAAACACCCTTCTTCCTCTTCCCCCTCCTTTTTCCTTAGTACCTGCATCTCTGCTCAGGACCAAACCCAGGGCCTCCTGAATGTCAGGCGAGGGCCCTGCTGCTGGGCTGTATCATCTATCCGAAGTCTTTTTAGTTTCGACTTTGAAAGACTACAGTCCAGTGGTGTCTTAGCCTCCCAAGAAGCTGAAATTACAGGCTTGCCCTACCAAGCCCAGCTGCTGATTTTGTTAATATATTACATTTTCTGAAATTTTTGTATTTATTTATTTTCTTGTGGGAGCTAGGCGGGCAACATGGTGCACAATTTGTGGGAGTTGGTTCTCTCCACCACCTTTCGGGGTACCAGGTATTGAACTCAGGTAGTCAGACTTGACAGCAAGCACGTTTCCCTACTGAGCATTCTCATCTAGCCCCTGACTGCATCCCTTTATCTTGTATAATATTAGTGGGACCAGCCTTAATATTATACATCCCAGGGGCTCAGGAGAGAGAACTACTAACGGCGAGGACTATTTTCAGGAAATATAATCTCAGCACACCGAGTTCTATAGTCCACTTGCTTTAATTCCTCTGGCATAGCATTCTTTATACACAGCTTCAGTTCTGTTCTCATGTCTAGCTC